GAGTCTGTATCAAGGATCCTCTGTTCTTCCTCCCTCTCTGCTCTTCCTGTGCTTGTGCTAGCCGAGGGGGATTTGCTGATGAGATGCCACACTGTCATGTTCTGTCACCCTGATATGTGTGTTGTATGGGATGTAGCTGCTGCGCTTTTATTGAACGCTAGCCAGTGCAATCTGAGTTGTGTTCATAAGCGTGCGGCTTCTCTTTTCCTGTGGTTTATATTAACAGACTTTAGAGACAGACGGCATCACAATAATTAGTGCTTTGGTAAATGAGTCTGTCCGTCTGACTCTGAGTATAAAGTCCAAAATTTATGAAGCAAAGAAGAAGAAGTCATTTCCTACTCAATATAAACTGCATCATTCGCCATTTAGAAGCTGTGCAGTTGTTGATCAAAGGTGAAACCCAGTTTTCAGGCAGGTTTCACAGAGCGTGCAGAGAGCTCATTCACTTGATAAAGAAAAACAGTTTTCTGTGCTCTGCTGAAAAGCAGATAAAGTCCATTACTTGAGTGTGAATCTAGTGAATGCTGTATTTAGACAAACACTGGATGAACTCAGCCTGTCGGACACCATGTATCCACATCACAAGCTCTTCATCTTCCTCATTAGGTGAAATCAGAGCAGCACTAACTGTAAATGTTATTTTTAACAACATCCTAATTTTATATAGGCGAGATCATTAATAGGAGAGAATTTGGGAGTTGCTGTCAGACTTTGTGTTGCGTAGCAACCAGAATAATGAACGCCTGTTTCGCAGTTTGATCTCCTGCTCTCTGGTGACTGTTGATGCTCACTGGTGCAGTTTGTGATGGAGCGGGAGAAAAAATAGCTTCTACAACCACCTACCGAGTAAACTTTTTGTGTGTTGCAGGATATTCAGTATTTTGAATGTTTTTCTTTGCAAAGCAGAGCTCTATAATATGCATACGCCCACATAACAGCTGTAAAACAGAGCTTGGCTTCTGCCAGTCCATCCAATCTGTTCTTTAAGTGGAGCTTTTGCAGGCTCTCACCTGCTGAGTACACCTAGTACACGTTGAAGGGGTTATATATCCAGTCTGAACTGTGGGAGTACCTCAGGATCCACCGAGGAAGAGCTGGAACATATTATTGGAGAAGGATCACCTTGGTTAGGCTGTTGCTGCTACAGCTGATACCACAGCTAAAAACCTCACAAAATATATTAGTAATGCCCTCTGCATTCATTCAGTGTCCACAAAATGAAAACATATTGAGGAGCTGTTCTGGTTGGCAGTCGCATCTCTCTGTGTATCTCGGCGAACCTTTCTTGGCAACCTGTCATCTAATTTGACTAGAAAAGGACTGTGTTACAGTAAGGCAGTTTATTGTTGCTGTGTGCCGGTAAAGCTGCTGCCATGTGTTACATCGTTTGCAGCGATTGGCTGATCCTGTCTCATCTCAGGAGAAAATGAGAGACGAGGCATCTTGAAGCAGTGACAATTAAAACCAGCATTTCACTTGAGCGAAGTCTGCTTATTATTCACTCCGGTATCTGTTCCTACAGTACTGTCGGCATTTTACTTCACTCATTCTTTGTCTGCTTTCTTTGAACTTGCTGCAGAATAAGGGTTAAGTAGGACAGTGAAGACGGAGAAAGCAAAGAAGACGCAGTCACTCAGATAAGTCAAACTTTTTAGAAGCGTTTGTAGGTTTTCTTTCAAAGCCTGCAGGCATTTTACTCAGCCTGAGACTGGTACCGAACATGACAGCAGGATTAGGCAAGTAAAGACAAACAGCGGAGAGCAGGAGTGTTTACTCCAGCGAACCTTTCTGTTACCGTTTGAGAGGAGAAAAACACAACTTTCTTTAGCTGTCCTCTTCCTGCCACTTCTACTGGAAGGTGACTTTTTCTTTCTGCAGTGCTGAACTCAAATGGGTTACCTGGCAAATCATTAAATGGTTTCATTTACTAGGAGCCACACAAGTCACAGTCTACATTCAGCTGGGCCACTCCATACCAGGTCCTCTCTGATCTCCCTGAAAAACATGTAGGATGATGATACATTTCTTTATAAATTTGAGCTCTTTGTAATGTGCACATACAAATATTTTCAAAGTACAATTTTCAGTGGAGCCAGAGGACTATTTAATCCATGTCAGGCAGATAGTTTTAGGTCAAATATGACCTCAGAAAGATGGGATTTCAAAAGTCAAGCTTAACTTCAGCTACACTTAAAAAATCAATAGTTTGGCACCACCATCTTTGGCATTTAAAAATACATTTTTCAAAGCTAGGGGCTGAAATCTGGCGCACACTCCCATAGTTGTACAGAGAAATGCTCTCAAACACATTAAAGCTTGAAACATAAACAACAAACAAACAAACTGAGTTTATTGAGTGATATTCAAAAAAAACCCCATAAAGTAACAGCAGTTTTATTTGCTTTCTTCTGATTGTAGGATTCCTTATACTTCAAACGACTCTGGAAATGTTACAGGGGGACAACATAATGGCCCTGAAGCTCGCGTCCACCCCATCTCTCATATCTTCTTGTTACACGTAGAAACCTGGAATCAGAAACTTAGAAGTACTTTAAATACATCTATAAACAAACGGAGCATGCAACAAGTGACTTTAAATCCTGCGGGTAAGGAAATCCCAGGAAGTTCATCTGGACGCAGCGTTGTGAGAGAAATGTTTCGTCCCTCATCCAGCTGACTGCAGATTTCCAACCTTATAAGCAGCACATCTGTAAACCTACAGGTGGTCACTCAGTATATATCTATATTTTGACAAGTTTCCAATGAAATACTGATGGGAGGTCACGAGCACTATAATAAACTTCTGCACAGATTGTAATTAGATTATGTTCATTTGCCATAAATGAAGATAAACCTATAATATACAAATATTCCTGACCCTCAAATACTTTCAAAGGTGGTCTGGATTGAAAACACAGCAAAGAATTTCCTGTGGGGTTGAGTCGTTAGTTTGAGAAGTCAGACAAAGTCAGCCAGAACTGATGGTGTGTTTTTAGTCAGTGAAAAATAATGATCGATTCTGCTGTTTCACTCATAATCCGGTGTATCTGTGGGACAGACGCAGGCTTTGGTCTGGAGATCTTAGGTGTCTGACTGTGTTGTACGGGGGCAGGAGTTCACAGATACCAGGCTCAGACCATTTACTTCTCTGTAAACAGAGAACAAGCGTTCAAACTTCAGTCTACAGCTAACAGGGAAACTGAGCAGGGAGGCAGGAATCTCAGTAATGTGCTGTCTGTGTTTTGATCTAGTTAAAAAGTCCTGCTGCTGCATTCTAAACTAATTGGAGACTGGATGTAAAAAAGGCTGCGCCATATCAACATACAAAAAGTTGCAGTAATGAGGCTGTATAAAGAAGTGCAACTTTCTTCTTGTCACAAGTTTTTGACATTATGACTCGAGAAGATAATGTGAGTGGATGTGTACAGGACACATCCAGGGCCTGCTGTATCGCACCTGCTCACAGGGAACAGCGATTACGTCTGCTTTATCCTGATGCGACGTTTGTTGTTTGCAAACTGAAATCTATTTTTATGACTAAAACTAAACTGGTTTGCTTTGTAGAGGATTTTGTATTTTTATTGTACGTTGTTTGCTGTAGGATGTGAGGATTAAACCTGTCACAGCTCTTTATTTTTTAAATTGCCAAAGACAATTTAAAGGTCTTCAGTAGGCAGGATGTGCCCACTCAGTAAAGGCTCATTAAAAAGACAACCTGCTGTTGCAGAGACCCCTTACAACTAAAGCTGGATGTGAAGTGAAAAGTAAGCTACAACTTCTTGAATGCATGTCCATCCATGGGACTCGGCCCTAATGTGCGATGACATCATTCATCTTATCTTAATGACCTTGTAGTACCATATCACCCTATTAGAGCACTTCGCTCTCGCTCTGCAGGCCTACTTGTTGTTCCTAGAGTATTTAAAAGTAGAATGGGAGGCAGAGCCTTCAGTTTTCAGGCCCCTCTTCTGTGGAACCAGCTTCCAGTTTGGATTCAGGAGACAGACACTATCTCTACTTTCAAGATTAGGCTTCAAACTTTCCTTTTTGCTAAAGCATATAGTTAGGGCTGGACCAGGTGACCCTGAATCCTCCCTTAGTTATGCTGCAATAGGTGTAGGCTGCTGGGGATTCCCATGATGCTATGGGAGTTTCTACTTCACTCACTATGTCTTAACAGACCTCTCTGCATTGAATAATACTTGTTATTAACCTCTGTCTCTCTTCCACAGCATGTCTTTATCCTGTCTTCCTTCTCTCACGCCAACCAATCACAGCAGATGGCCCCGCCCCTCCCTGAGCCTGGTTCTGCCGGAGGTTTCTTCCTGTTAAAAGGGAGTTTTTCCTTCCCACTGTTGCCATAGTGCTTGCTCATAGGGGGTCATATGATTGTTGGGTTTTTCTCTCTGTGTGTTATTGTAGGGTCGACCCTTATAGTATAAAGCACCTCGAGGCGACTGTTGTTGTGATTTGGCGCTGTATAAATAAAACTGAATTGAATGATGTATTGATGGTCAGGTGTGATAGTCCCTGAGTGTTTTGTTGGTGCATGTTTCTGTTCATGTATATTGTGTTAGTCTTTATTAAATCTAAATAGCTAACAGTCAGACCTGATGAGGGTCAGTAATCTACTTTAATCTACTTTAAATGTGAATGCAGCTTGTTAGGTCTCGCAGGTGTTTCTCCAGATTCAACAGTAGGAGAATGTGTAAAAATGACTCTATTTATTCATTTTAAAACCAAATCCCAACAATGTTGTGATGTCTGGTAATCGTGTTATATTTTCATGGCTTTATATGTGGCCCGAAACAGATATTCATCATGCAGTAAATTTGGAGGAGATTATTTGCAACGACTACTTTTGAGCTGAACAAGAAGCCATGACTGCTTGAAAAACAAGACTCAGTATTACCAGAGGATCTCGTCCTCGCGTCGGCTCAGCTTCTGTTTACTCTCTCGTCCACTGACCTGTAATCAGGTGTCTGTTTGTCATTCAGGAGGAGGCAGCCAAGCCGAAGAATCTTTGCTCACAGAGATTGTCTCCAAAGTGGTGTTTCCTCGACTGTAAGTATTACTTAATAATAGTAGTTTTTACCTTTATGCTAATCATTACCCAGTATGATGATATTATGGTGACATCCTGTTTCATGAGTATGACTTATACATAAATACTCTTATCAACACTCATCTTGCCTGTTTGAAATGGCAGTTACCAGTTCAGTTTTGATCAGCTGCCTGTTGGTCTTTAATTAACTTAATGAAGCTCAGATCAGTCATGCATGTTTTTGCTGCTATGGATGTGTCATATAATGAATGCATGCATTCATAAGCATAATGGCAGAGGAATCATGTTTATAGTCATTTACAAATGTTGCAGATTAAGTTTACTGTCTTCTGTTCTAAGGCAGTGATGAAGTCACATTACTGGTGTTTTTTTGTGTTCCACTGGGAGAAATGGACAAACACACAACTTGTTACATTTTGAGTGCCCCTTTTCAATCTTGTGCAAGCAATACCAGATCTCTCGCACCACATGTTGCTGTGAAATGTGTATCTGATTGTAAGAACGCAGTCAGTGACCTACAATCAAGATCTGTACTCTGCTTTTGTTTTGTGTAGATTTCAAATGTTCAAATTGTTAGAAAATCGTATCGTAGGTCCATGCAGCATTATCACAGGCAGTGTGAGCAGGACAAATGCTGACACAGTTCTCTAATGTAAACAGGTTTCTGTGTTAGCACTTCCTCAAAATAACATAAAACATAGTCCCATCAGATCCTGGGTTTTGGAGAATGTCATGAATATTTATCTCTCAGAGCAACTTGCCAAAAATATCATAGAGAAAGACCAGGCTTCCTACACAATGCTAAATGTGCATGCACATTAACACAACCCCCCCACACACACACACCTCTGCCTGGGTTGTGTCCTGTTGGCATTGAGCAGAAAACTGGATTTAAAAAGATGCAGCATCTACCTGACAGAGAGATAAGGAGGATGTGTTTGAGGAGGGCGCATGTGATCAGTGCTACTTCTGCTCTAACCCAACAGAGGATTTACACACATGGCTGATATGTTTAAGTGCTTTTGAAAAACTACATTGTTTGTTTGTACTTTTCACATTTGTTTGTTATTAAGTTATTTCACTGTATGACTGTATTCATGACATCAAAGAATTTCATCAGTTCTTCCTATATTAGACTATATTTCCTCCACCAGCTGCTCAGATGGACAAACTGCACAGAATCTGGCTTTAGAATAACATTCCTAGAATGGTGTGAAAGGAGTTGTGTTACCAGCTGCTGGGCTGTGCTGGACCACGAATTAAACTGGTCCATGTTCATTATAATGATGCAGAACAAAGGTGAACTCGGTGCAATGGGACAAAAATGCAGTCTGGTTAGAAAGTCATTGTTGCATCACAGTAGTCATTGATTTGGTCTTCACAAAATGAATGCGAGTTCCCTATTACACTGAAATAAAATACAATTATTTTATGGTGTAAGAAACAGCAGTTTCTCACCCTGTGGGGGCAGCGTCTCATCTTGTTACTCTGCAGGCTATTGGTTTCCCACAGTAATTGGCACAGGAGGTGGGAGCTAGCATATGTACAGATTAACAATGTTCAAAGTTATTTGCTGACCTGAACCTTAATGACCGCCTGCAGCAATCTGCTTTAAATGAGCTGAGTTTGAGACATGCTTACAGGAATAGTAATTTTCCCACGTTGTCTTTATTTGGCTAAAACCGTTTTTTTGTGTCTCCTCAGCCACGACAGCCGATCGTTTCTACAGGATCGACCGAGCACAGGTAAGGTTTCACCACCTGTGTTCTAGTTTTTAGTCATTTTCACTCCGTGACCTTAATGATGCCTTCTCGTTTGATTCTTTGCTAAAACCTTCAGGAACATCTCAACTACGTATCAGAAATCTCCCAGGAAGAGATCTTCATCCTGGACCCTGAACTTGTTGTCATGACAACTGTAGGCACCTCCCCCTCAGCCATGGCCGACCTGGTTAACCCCGCCCCTAGCCCAGTAAACAGCAGGTAAATCAGTTGTGACTAAGCTGAATTTTCATTAAACATTTTTTCTTTGTTCCATTCATTGCAGTGCATAACGCTGGAGGAGGAGAAGGAAAAGCGTGGCCTTACTTTGACTCCTTGAAGTAATCAATAAATCAATAGAAATAGTCTGCCAATTACAGTTACTTACAACCAAAATTTACATGAGAAAAGTATTAATTATTCTTCCTTTGATAATTTTCTTATTACAGCCTTTTAAATAATTCTGTGGCGAATTCTGTAGTTGGACAACAACCACGACAGTCCATAAATATAGATGTTTACAATGATACCATGCGGCTGAAATGCAGCCACCTGGGCTCGAGTCCGACCTACGTGCTCTGGCTGTGTGTCTCCCCCACTCACTCTCTGTAAAAGTTAAATAACCAACAAGAAACCCTCTATTATTATACACAAAATAAGCTGATTCCAAGAGTCACCTCGTATTGCTGTCAAACGAAATACTCTGTAGGGCCTATTTCATGACCTAAAAGCTTCTCCAGGGACAACACTTCTAGTCAGAGCTCCACTGATGCTTTAGTCTACACTGCTGCTTCCTCCTCCAACTCACCTTCATGCTCTGTTCCCAGGTAAAGACGCACATTAAACACAAATGCGTCCTTAATGTGTGTCTGTTGCTCTCACCCTGCTTCTATGTTTCTGGTTCTAAAAAATGAAACAAAACAAGGAAGCCAATGTTGTGGTCCAGTAATGAAAGTCAGTCTGTTGTTTCAAAGACTAAAGCAGTGGGCCAGGCCAGACCTGGGGAAAAAGTATAGATTGATGTCAAAAACCTGGGTCCTTTTTAAAGTTTTAATTATTATTTTATTTCATAATTTTAGTTAAATATATAAAAATGTAGATTTGGGGGATTGGAAGTTCCTAGTTCAGTGTGGCACTTTGTGTTTTAGTGCCTATAAAATCTAATCGTGCATAAATGGATGAGTTCAGTTTCTTTTCCTACTGAGAAAATCTGTCATCATTATGTTAGCTTGTGTTTGCATATGTTTGTGTCTGTGGGTCTTGAGATCTGTAGACAACACGTTTGTATTCTACTCGTATTTTCATATTATTAACCATGTACCATAGACTCGTGAAGGTTAATTCCTTACCTACAGCTGTCTGTTGATGCTCCATAAACAATTCTCGTGAGGCAAAATGAGAAGAGGGTAAGCAGATTATGAGTGAGAGGATCAAGAATTTCTGGGGAGAAAACTGGTTTTATTCAATATTTTCTTACAGTAAAGAAATCCCATGAAAAGAACCAAGCCAAAGATGTGTTTTCATCTTCCTGACATCTCTGTGTTTGCCTGTGGCACTCGGCTTCATTGGTTTGATCTAAGGATGAAAATCTTGAAAAACATTCCTCAAATACAGCACCAGTGAAAGGTTTCAGCACATCTATTTATTATAAGACTTTCCACTGTTTTTTCCTCATGTTTTGCATTATAGAGTAAAAAGATCAAAATAATTGAATAACACATTTGAATTTTCTAAAACATGAAAATCCTCAAACTTTGTAGTTCACTCATCCATCTGTCACTCACCTGAGTTCAGATCACCCTGCCAGCCCGGGGGGGCAACAAAGTGTTCCCAAGCAAGGTAACAAAGGTAATCTCCCCAGTGTGTCTGGGACCTGCAAGAGGCCTCTTCCTTGTAGGACATGGTCAGCATACACAAGGCATCCTAATCAGATCCTCAAACCATCACAACCTTCTCCTTTCAGTGTAGAGGAGTAGCAGCTCTACTCTCCATCCTACCACTAAGAGCCCAGACACTTTTTGGAGGAAGCTCATTTCTACTGTAGGCTGTCTAATCTCCGTCAGACATGAGTGTAACCACGGAGGTGTTGTCGACATACGTTTGATGACGTTGGGTGGGTGGTGTACAGTCATGTGTGGACAGGCTGTACAGTAGGAGGCTTAGAAGGCAGCCCTGTAGAGATCCGGTGCTGAGTCACAGTAGAGTGGCGAGGTGGTGGCCGAGTCTGACTGATCGGGGCAGTTTAGTGGTGATGGGATCTTCCATGGACCGTTTTTGCTCAGTAAGCAAACCGGTTGACACCATCCACTCAAAACACTTGATGACTTGATGTGAGGGCTGTAGGTCTGTAGTCATTGACGGTGTATATTTCAGTCTTTTGAATGGGAATGATGGTGGAGGCCTTCAGACAGGTGGGAACAGTGGCATGAGTCAGAGGCTGAACAGCCTGGTAAGGATACCTGCCAGTTGATCCGCACAGGCTTTGTCCACAGTCGCTGGGATGCCGTCAAGGTCAGCAGCTCTCCTGGGGTTGAACTCTCTCCAGCCATTTTTGTTCTTGCCGCGTCGCTTGTGTTGCGGGTATCTGGTGATAATTTTCACATCACATCCTGTTTCACAAGACACAATCTTTGTGGCACATCGGGTGGTCGTGCAGCTCTGTACTTTTTTTAAGATGGCGAGCTGTGCCGCGACTGTCGCAGCTGGGTTGAAAACATGAGTCTACGATCGTGCCGTTTTTTACCGCCATTTCTATGATAATCAACTTCTTTGGTCTCAAACTGAGCAAAGAAGTTGTTGAGCTCCTCTGCTAGTGTGAGGCTACTGTTGGAGCCATGGCCTTTGAAGTTCTTGAGGATGCCTCTCCAAACCTGGCTGTGGTTGTTGTGTATGAGGAAGCCCTCTAACCATGAAATTCATCAGATTGTGCTGAAATACAGTGCTTGTAAATGGTCATCATCATGAAGTAACTTGACACCTAGTGCAAGACTGTGGCTTTATGAAGTGTTTCTAATGTTTTTAGACAACAGAAGAGTGTTGGAACCGTGTTGGGTTGACTCTGAAGGATTGGTTGCTCTTTAAAGGAAAAGATTATTTCAAATGAAACTTAATTTATATCTCAAATTAAAATGTATAAATATAATTACTGGAGTCACTTAACAAAGAAACAAACTGCTAATGAATAATAAATAATTAACCAGTTTACTGAATACTGGAATGCTTTAACCCTTTCGTGCTGCCTGTTTCACTGGTCTGAACTAAGCTTCACTGGCTAAACAACAGAGATGTCTGAGATGTCCTTGCATGCAGATTCATTTGAGGCATCTGTGACAGCCACATCTGTGGTTAGTATCTCAGATATTTATTATTTCAGTTACAGCAACTATAACCAGTTAAAGCCAGCTGACAGTAGATGAATCCATATCTAGGGCTTTAAAACACTTAGACTCCTAACAATTGCCACAAACAACACAATGTTTTGTAGAGCACTGTGGGCGTAATTGCATTTGCTATCACTCCAAAATCCAAATAACCAATTTTATAAATGTCTAGCCATCAAATATAATATGATGCTCACTCTCAGACTATTATCCATTCTCTACAGAGCAGTGCACTTGTCATGTTTTTCTGCTCATCAAGTGTTGCACAAATACACATCAGTATGTTTAGAACACTAATTATTATTATTATTATACAAGCATGTATTGCAATGTTTCTTTCATCATCTTTTCACTAGTTTCACACCCACTGTATGTTTTTACAGTCTTTGCACAGATTACATCAGTTTTGTGTAGCACAGTGTGCAAACTGGTACAGTGGGTCGTCACTTCACACAAGGTGGTCCTGGGTTTGACGCCAGGCTGCTTCTCCTCTGTGTGGAGTTTGCATGTTCTTCCCGGGTAGTTCAGCTTCCTCCCTGGGACCCTGTGACAGCTGTGACTGGCTTCAGCTCTGCTGCGACTCTGTACTGGATGAAAGGAAGGAAAATGCCTGTAAAATGACTTTTGCCATTTGTCTAAGTAGGCCTGGGATTTGTGGCCTATTACTTCCTGTTACCAGTTCCTCTGATGGCCATGATGTATCAAAAAAGCTTTTTTGGCATTTTACCCCAGCGGTATAGAAACAGCCAAGAAATGTGGGGAGGGTTAGCAGGGGCGGCCTGGCAAGGGATTCGCCCGGGGATTCATTTAGTTCTTGTGGTATGCACTCTAAGCACTTTAGGTTTTCACTCATTTTTATCCTGGATTGACATTCTCGTCCGTACAGTATCATAAATGCCACAAAAATGCAGCTAAAGCAGCATGAGCTCCCATGAAGATTCTCATAATTAGTTAGTTAATAAAGAACTGATTTCATTACTAATGTTAGTTTTAACAAACTGTTAGAAGGCAGCTTAGAGCCTGAATTCTATTTCTTGTCTTTTGTGTGATCTGATGTGTCCCAGTCACAAACTATGACCATCAAGTAACAAATGTTACAAAAAATGTTACAAAAAACCTGTTTACTGTTTCTCCTGGCAGCTGAGCGGCTGTGGCCATGTGAGCTACAAACTGTGAACACACATTTGCATGTGGAACAGAAAGAGGCAATAAATAAAGTAACAGGTACAACATGAGTATAAGCATAGCAACACAACCTGCTGATCCTGACAGTAAATCCCTTTGGCTGTGTGTGTGTGTGTGAGTGTTGGCGGGTTGATTTGCAATGCTGAGTGCACCGAGTGGGAGGATGAGGAGGAGAGATGAGATCGAGGGGCAGAGTGAGGGAGAGAGAGGTTCAGGAGGAAGATAGTCAGGAAAACAGTGGATGGAGAGAGAAACGTAATGCATGTCAGAGCACTCCAGAGTCGCACCAATCTACTGTATTTAGACACACACACACACACGCAGCACACACACAAACACACACGCAACACACACACACACACACACACACACACACGCAACACACACACACACACACGCAGCACACACACACACGCAGCACACACACACACACGCAGCACACACACACACACACACACACGCAGCACAGCGGTTTGCCCACGCAGGGCCAGAGGTGAGCGTTATTCCTCCCACTACAATTACTTTTCTCTGTTCTATTTCTCTCCGTTCCCCTGTCTCTCTGGCAAACACACTGAAGGACACCTACACACAAAACATTTAGTTTTTTAAATGAATTTTGACCTGAAAGCTTCACTTACTGTCAGTTTGGCATCAAGACTGACATAATCAGGAGCTCAAGAATTGGAAATCTTTGGAAAATTGGAGTCTGTTTTGTGGGAAAAACTTAAAACCGTTGTAAGAAAGTTTCTATTTTGTGTAGACTGACACAGACACAAAGATGATGCTGAGCTTAACAACATAAACAAAGACAGCTGAGCAGTACAAATCCTTGACTTTAGTCTCTGTTTTGTGCTGGGAGCAGCAGCTTTGGAGCTGTGGCTGCTACACAAGACATTTCACCTAAATGACCAAAACTTATATATGCAGCTGTTGATCACACATACAGAAGATTCTGCTGACATAGATTTTTACTTTGCAGTATCATCCATGATCAGATGTTATTGTGTTTGGTAGGTTCAAGCAGGGTACACAGTGTAGTAACCAGCTGGTTAACCTCAGACAAACCTAAAGCTTCTTTATCCTGGTGAGATGAGTCAGCCTTTTATTCTGTTAGAAAAACAGAAACACAATGGCGAAAACGAAGACGTGGAAAACTCTGCATACAAACGTAAAACAGACAGAGGACTTAAATACACTGAAGGGTAATGAGGGAAGTGGAAACACAGCTGACACACATGAACATGACGCCACAGGAGAAGCAAAACTAAACACACTGAACATGGACCACAGGCAACATAATGGGACATGACATGACAACACACGCTTGACAACATGGAACACACAGACATGAAACATGTGACAGACTGGGGAGACATGAAACACAAGAGACACATGAGAACAGTCCATAGAGGACAAGACAGACTGCACAGACAAAGACTCAAAACTAAAGGGAGCTTGATGATAACTAAAAATAACACAACAACTCAACATATCCAAATGTAACCTGATGAAGAAGCAAACCATCAGGAATCTGCTGCATCAATGAACAGTCAGTTAAGTCCTCTTACTCACACTTCTGTGCTTAAACTGATTCCTGCTTGGATGCCACTGATGGATACCGTGCCATCATACTGGTGTTAACAGTGAGGTAGAGTAAAAACAATGTTAACACATCACAACAATGTGTTTTTAAGGCAGGCTGAGAGTTTGTGCAGATACAGCAACATGATGCTGCTCCCACCTCAGAGAACTGGTATTACACAGATGACCACAAAGGTTTGCTTTTCAGGAAAATGGGAACAATGGTAGAGCAACCACATCAGTGCTGGGATAAAGCACTATGTGTGCTCTCTATTTTCTCTTGGTGCCATAGATTTGGGACTTTGTGAGACTCCCTCGGCTGCTACCAGTTTCATATGTTTTGAAAATTCAGAGAATTTCACATAGCGGCTGTTTCTTCTTGCTTTGCCCTAAGCTTGTCCTACTTTCACAGCCCTTAAAATGCTTTATACTTCCTTCCTCTGTTCTCTACCCATGCCTTTACCTCAATCATGCTCATTATCATACCGTTTACTTCTTTAACCACACCGACCAAGACGCTGCAGACAGGCTGAAGATGTTTTGTTCCTCATAACGTCCCTGTGAATCTCAGATCTGTCTGAAACACGTCTCTCTGTAAAGTCATGACTGGTTCATCATTTCTCTCTCTGTGTCAAATATTCACAGGGATGTTGTTGAGATCTCACATGCAGGTGTTTTCATGCATATGTGAAGCTTCAGAGCTCAGTGGATCTGTGAACTGTGCCTCTTTCTTCTGTCCAGGCAACATGAAGTCCTGGCTGCATGCTCACTCTACCTTTGTTTCCTTTGTGTTCTGCTGTAGTTCTTCCCCAAGGCAGCACATGAACAGTGACAGCACAGAAGCAGAAGTTTTGACGCACAACAAAGAACCTGTGACCAGCAAACTCAGCCGGTTAGTGACTCTTAAATATGCACCGTGTTTTTTACGTGTTTGGTGTCGCAGCTCTCGTCTGTTTGGCTTCCAGCCTGCAGCTTGCTGGGTTATATTTTTAACAGTGTCTCTCTCCAGAACTAGAGATGAGGGATAGTCAGGTTAATGACCACAGAGGAATCAGTGAGAAAGAGGAGGAGGGTCTAAGCAGTCTAAGACCCTTCAGCTCTGTGGCTCTTTTTATCCTCTTAAAGTTGTTTTTCTATCAATCTGGCCATGTGTTGTGTTACTGCACAGCAGAACAGCGTGGATGGTAATGTAACTGTTGAAGCTAACCGTTGGAGGTCTAAGTCATCATCAGTGATAACCCCAAACAAATCCTAACCTAAGTTTTGACTTGGAAAATAAATAAATCTTTCTGGTTCGTGTCGGTGAATATTTTCCTCGTCCACCGACTGCCAAGACATGAAAGAACAACTGACCTATTCTGCTAGCAGCAGGTTGGGTTTATCACTGATGCTGACGTCAACCCTCAGACGTTGTGAAGCCCTGTTGGTGCATCCAGCCAACGATGCCGAGATAAACACAGACTGATCTTGAAGATAACAGCGATGATGATCAGAGTATATGGATGTATAAATGTCTGTATCGTCTCCTCAGCTTAACCAAACTTTGTATGTGTGATGATGTTTGTGCAAAGAATACGAACATCTATATTTTTTTAAATGATTTATTATAACTTCCACATGTTTGGATTTCTGCATGTATTATGTTCAGTTCATCATCTCGAAGTCTTGAAAATGTAATTTTCTTCTAAGCTTTTGTCAATAATAAAAGAATAAACACATATACCCATGTAAAAAATAAATATGTAATAAAAATTCAAACTACTAACAAGATGCTTGAAATGAAGGAACGCGATCAGGAAACACCATTACTCCAAATATAAAACATAAAATGCACACACATCGAAGCCGGCCGTATAGCTTTAACAGTGTTCATCTATTTACAGCAAAGAGTATTGATTTTACTATTTAGCATCAGTGAAACCTTTTAAATGTATTCTGCAGAGCGGGCTGTATCCATCGTTCCAACACAACAGCTGCGGATACCAACCAAAGGCAAAAGTAAGTATGCTTAAAAACACTTTTAAACCACTTCATCAGTACACAATACCTCTACACAAACAGTTTTTTCTACCTTTCATCAGGCTGTGAACGCCTCATAGCACACTGACTCCTTGGTTAGGACCAGATTAGCTTGGTATTAAATGATTTTATATAATTGATGTTGAAACCAAGCCTCCCGAGTGTGTGTGTGTGTGATGCTGTCCACAAATACACTTTATTCAGTTCAGGTCACTTTTATTTGTATAGCGCCAAATCAGAACAACTCTGAGATCAATAATACAGACAAACCCTGTCGATCATATACAGGATATCTCTGTGTCTCTGAAGCCTGCCTCCTTTATCTTTATATACGTTAGAAACTGTGAGCGATGCATTTACAGTTTCTCATGTATATGTATGAGGCAGGTTTCTGATTTGGTAGCTCGGTCACAAATGGCTGTCCTCCTCTAACCCTCATGTAACTCTACTTAAGCTGCACTAGGAGACATGATGGGCACTCAGGAGTGTGATGTGATTTGAGGAAGACTCTTCTTGACAGTGTGATGTGAGTTAATGTTTTGCTAATAGTTTTCATCCATTAATGATGAAACCAGTCAGTTTGAGTCAAATCACATATCTCTGCTCATTAAAACATAATAGTACTCATTAAAGCGACAAAGTAACGTGCTCATTAAAACGTTTTTGCACTGAGTAATGAGTACAAGTGGTTTTGCACCCTAAACAGCTGTGTGAGAGATCACTTGCTGTACTTGTGATCTTAGGCTATAGTCTCTGTTTACACAGCACACTGGCTCTCAGTCTGGGAAAAAAAACATTTTTGTACACGCACAAATTTGCAGTAGAGCAGTTTATTTCTGGATGAGGAAGTATAAAAAGTCTTTCCTAACAGACTGGTGTAACATGTGTGGCATCAGTTGAAAAACATAAATTCAACTAGAAAAAGTTGCATTTCCTGCGAAAATGCAGTGTGAATGCCTCGTAGTGGAATCTGCTGGAAACAGCAGAAGTAAAACTATGTGCTGAGAGGAGGTGAAGAAACTGAAAATTCTGCAGGTGAAGAAGCAGAAATTTGTACTGAAAAGAGGTGAAAAAGTTAAACTGTCTGCTGGAAGGAAATGTTGCCATAAGCGGGATTCGAACCCGGGCCTCCTGGTGTCACAGCTACTCATCTCACTGAGCCAAACTGGTTCTCAGGTAACTGATAACAGGTGAAGAAACTGAAAATTCTGCTGAAAACAGTTTTAAAAAAAGTTGAAGAAATTGTTGCCATAAGCGGGATTCGAACCCGGGCCTCCCGCTCTGAGAACGGCTGCTCATCTCACTGAGCTAAAACACGGCTCAGCCCGGCAAGCCAAACTAGTGATCACACTGATAATATGGTCCTATTCAGCAAAATGGGCCAGAAAATGGCACAAAAAGTATAACAGTTATGAGCACCAAAAGATATAGCAGGAATTAGCGGAAGGAGAAGAACAGTTTAAAGTTTGAATGGTGAAAATCGGCTGAAAACTGAGGGAGGAGTTAACCAGCAAAGGTCCGAGCAGCTAGAATAAGGTAGAAGAAAGAGAAACAGGATCTCAATAGTGTGAATGAGTTTGTTATTGGACTCCATTTTTAGACATTTCTTGTTAAGTCAGGTTTGGGAATCAGGCGTCATCACTGACACGACGCTGGCTGGTTCTACCCTGAGCGCAGTCTCCAGCGCCATCCAGCTGTGTCACCTGCCAAAGGCCCTGTAATATACTGAAGGATGCTTCACCCTGCGAAGACAATGGGCGCGGTTATATCACATTCCTGCTTTGATGCTGCCTCTGGAGCTGATCCCACACAAAGCACTGCTTGCATCATACGACAGTTCCAGCAGAAGTGGAAGTAGAGGGTTTCAAAAGTGTCCCAGAAATAACATGGGGTTATTTTTGAATTAAAGATACATGAAGCTGCACAGAGCAGGTGAGGAGACGGAGGGATGGCATGTAGAGTCTGCTCAACCTTCACAGAGACTGAACGTTTACTCTGGAAACACTGCCGGCTTGAACTGACCCACCCAATCTGTTCTTTGTTATAATTTATCCTTATTTTTTCATATTCATATGTACTGAAAGTGTTAAACACCAAACGGCAGCAACAAGATTCCTTCACTTTCTGCCAAAACCTCGATTTTGATTTCACTGAAAACAATGAAATTACGATGGAATATCCAGGCCAGCTGATCGCTCTCCACAAAGAGCTAACAAAGCAACTGAACTGTTTTCAGACAAAGGTTTCAAGGTTGCATTAAAGCAGATATAACCCATCCCCTGCTCTCTGACAGATGATTATTGGCATGCAGCCTATTCATACCTGACTGAGCAGTAACATTCAGACTGGAGGCAGAAACCAGAACGCTGCTGCTAGTCTGGCTGCAGTCTGTGTATTTGTAGGCAGTCCGAGTCAGGCCGTGATTGTTTGGAGACACTTTTGCCTCTGACCAGGCGACTTGTGCAGTCATCTTGTGATGGTTGCATGCTCAGACTCTTGGTAATGAAATTGTTGCCATAATTACTTGAATCACCGAATCCAAAAAGATTCAGTGCAGCCACTGATGTTTCCTGGCTGAAAGCAGGTTGCTGTGCTGTTTTTACTACAGTGTGACTGAACCATGAAAGAACACAGTAGTTATTTTGAACAGGTGATCATCGTGTTTGCTGTCATTGTTTCTCCAGATGGGAAAAGAGCCAAAAGATGAGCGAAACAGAAAAGGAGAGAGAAAAAGGTAATGCACACACACAGTATCGAGGGCTTAACTTGTAGGACCTGACTGAATGATGTCTGATTCCTTCACTCAAACATTTTGCTCCACACAGAGCTGAACGTGTACCTGACAAGTCTGTGTGAAAGACAGAGAAGAGACTCAAAAAGACTCTTTTCTTCTCTGACACATTTCCTCCGACTCGCTCTGCCTGCACTCGTTCTAGCATGCTGGGAGTCGTGGCCGTGGCTTCCTCTTCTGTCAGCACCTCTGTGCTTGTGTTTCTTTGGGATGTTGCATGTTTTCACTTGGCAGCAGGTTTGTGTGTTAGATGAATACGACCCAGTTGTTGCTGTCAGTTATTAAAGATAAGATAAGATAACCTTTATTAGTCCCATCATTAATAACAATAATAACTGCTAATACAGGAGTGTTATTCATGAAAAATGCCAGTTGAAAGTGAGCTGCTGCATAGGGACACATTCATATTTCCACTGGTCACGTGTTTTAAAATGGACTGATTCTTATTCTGCACTCAGAGCTTTATACAACACGCCACATTCAGCCACACAAGCACCGTCTTCTACGCTTTAAGTGCTTCTAGCTAACATTCACACACTGTGGATGGACGCATCACAGAGGGGGGTCGTGCTCATGCAGACTGAGGGAGCCAGGGATCGAACCACCAACCTTCTAATCGACCTCCTGACCTACAGCTACGCCGCTACACCTACTGAATTGCCAGAAATTTGGATATCATGTATCCCATTGTTTGTGGTATTTTTACATCAACCATATGCTCAGCATCTGCTTCAGAAAAAACAGAGGCAACAAAAGTCTGTACAAATTGTGTAGTTCCAAAAACACCTGAAGAAGAATGTCACACTGACAAAAGGTCAGGAAGAGGATTTCCTGTAAAAAGACTGGACAACAAATAAAAATAGGGAGGGATTACTCACGTTCAGTAATGAAAAAATAATGCATCCCAACAGTTATTCTACAAATAAGTTCTCTTTCATGAGCCACAGCGAACCATGTGATTAAAAGGAATGATGTTGTGGGGTTAGCAACGCTTCCACATCCAACCCTCTGTCGCTGTTCATAGTTCAGCCAGGAAGACAAAAATCCATTTACTGTAAACAAAGGCAGGAAATCCCAGCATCTTCACCAGGAAGAGTGTGACTCCGCTCTGCAGTCTGACGATTCCAAATTTGTCACAACTCCTCTGTGATTAAGAGGAATCCAGCACTCTGCAAACATGTCCCAGCGCTTTACTCTGAAATGAACACATTTAGTTTAATGTGATGCAAAACAGTAACCATCAGTGAATGTGACTCTATGGCTGCTGCAGACTGTAAAACACTAGCCTCAGTTTCAGGTGCAGCACTGTGTGCGTGATTGCGAGTGGATGTTCAACATGTGAGGCTCGGCTTTGTCCTGTTGTCGTTCCGTTTGTTTTAATGAAATGTGACTCCAGGCTTTCTTTCTTGCGTACATGCATACATCTGCTTTCATCCACACGCACACACGCAGCTCCCATAAGGGTCAGACAGGCTGACTGCATCAAACTGAAGAGTTCAATGGACCAAGTGACGTGTGCGAGTGTTTGTGTGTTTGTGTGTCCTCTTTCTACCTTTTCTCCTCTCTTGTGTCGTAAGACTGAATCTTATTTTCTCTGGTTTACTTAATTCTTTCCCTCGGCTAAATTCATTTAATTCACAGTGTGTGTTTGGTTTTGTTGTGTGTGTGCGACTGTGTGTGTGTTGTTTTTGATTTGTCTTACAGCTACAAACGCTCTTAGAGGTTTTTGAAGTCTGCTCGCTTTCTCTCCCCCTCCTTTCACTCACTCTTTGCACCCCTCTCTCTCTTTCTGTCTCACTCTCTCTCACACACACACACACACACACACACACACACACACACACACACACACACACACACACTAAGCCTAACATAACTGGATTAGGACTCAGCTACTAAAGAGAGAGGGAGTGAAAGCAAGTATTGAGGTCAACCTAATAAACATTCATCTCATATCTCGGCTTAGACAGACACACACCAACCAACTGTTTCACCCAGTAACAACTCTGAACAGTTTTCATGGGGATGTTCAATATAATGATGATCCTTTGTGGCGTTATCTAATCACTCAGCTACTGCACTGTAGCCACAGAGTGGCTGATCCCTGTTTGCTTCATAATTTCCATTAGAACAGAAAATGCCAGCTATCACTACAAACATGACTCAGTAAATATACCAATTATCCATGTAATAAAATAATTATTGTGTCACAGCACTGAAGCTGTTGTTTGTGATGCTGCTCAGGTGTTTCTAATATTCTGACCCTCGTGGATGTAATTTACTGCCCGTACATGTTTTTTGTACGGACACGATGATACGATGTTTGGTTGTTTATGCAGATGCTTTCTGTAGCGTGACAATGAAGCTGTGATTTTGTGTTTGCGTTCTCTCTCTGTCTCGTAGAAATGTTAATGGATTGTGTGAAGAACAAGGACTTGAAGAAGGTAAGTACTGATAAGTGCTTGCAGATTTATTTATTAGTCCGCAGCTAACTTAAGGAAGTTGCATGGAAACACGTTCCTCTGAGACACCTCTCTCACACCTTTCGCATCCTTTCCATGTGTTAACAGCTAACAGTAGGATTAACATCTCACTGTGATGCATTTAGACTTTAATTACAAATTTAGTTTCTCATCGTGTTAAAAAAGCCTTTCTGTTAACGTTTATCTCGCCTGTATATCACCTGCAGCTGCAGGAGCTGCACCTGAGGGGAGCAGACCTCACGGTCCTGGACCAGTCAGGGTGGAGCTTGCTACACCATGCTGTTAGTACAGGAAGCAAGGACATGGTGCGCTACATCCTTGACAATGGTAACAGAAAAGCATCGAGTGGAGATGAAGATCTAGTATTTACAGTAATGAAAAACATGCTGGTGCAGTTCTGTCAGGCTGTGGCAGAGCTCCATCCATCCATCCATCCGTCTGTTCGTCTTTTTCTATTTGTCAAGTCGGTGGGATCAGCTCACAGCGCTATGACTGTGAAAATACTGCCACCACTGTTGCTAATAATGAGATGATACTGCAAACTGAAGGTTAAAAAACCAGTTTGCATAGTTGGATGAACCCCGTGTCTCTACAGTCACTCCTCCTTCTCTGTTTTCCAGCACCAAGTGAGCTGATTGATGTCACTGAAAAGCTACAGTGAGTATGTGAAACATTTAGATGTTACAGTAGGAACAAATAACTTGAGGCGATTTGTTTTGGGCTGCATGTTAACACTAGTCTTAGAATAATAACGAGGTTTGTGTGTTCTCTATCTGCAATAAACTGACTGTATTCAAGCTTTGATGATGATGCCAATGAGCTCTAGTCTCTTTCTGTTGCCTGGCATTCCAGCAAGTGTAGAAAACATTAAAGAGAATAAACATAAAAGCCAAACAGAATCAGCTGGGTGCCTCTTCATCAGCTGTGTTTCACTCCCAGCATACATGAAATACAGCTCGCTCTCTTCTTTTCTCTCTGGTGCTGCATCATGGACCACCAGTGGGGAAACGGTTCTTCATCAGGCTGCGTCGCTGTGTCACAGGACTATCTGTCATTATCTGGTGGAAGCAGGAGCCTCACTCATGAAAACAGACCTGCTGGTAGGTTCAGTAGCATTTACAGTTCTCCATGACTCTGTTAAACAAAAAGGAAACGCCCTCCTTCTTTGTCAGTGTCAAATTGCTTTTTATACTTGCAGACGGACTCCTGATTCATGTGGCTCACAATGACAGAACTACATACAAACAGTATTTCTGCCCTCGTTACTGGATATACTGAGTATCACCGATGCTGGCTGCAAAATGGAGATGTCCAAAAGTTACTTGACGATGTTTCAGTCACAGAGATAAAATTAGTGGGTTGTAGATTTTCCCACAAAGACGTATACTGGCACAGTCTGCTCTTCTGGGTAAATAAGTGACTCACCCCTCTCTTAAGCTTTAGGCATGACTAAAGCTTAAGAGAGGTCGGGTGATGCAAGAAGACGGTGCTGAAGCACACAGGTGAATGTACAACGAAGTGGTTTAAAAGGAAGAAAACTGCATGTTGTGACCAATCTGTGCAGAAATCCTTTCAAAGCTTCACACACATTTTGTTCCATTTTGTCTTTCTCAGCCCCGGAGTACGTCGAGTCTTCTTTACTTTAATCGTTTCAGCGAAGGAGCACAATCCACACAGCTAGAATTTGCCTTTTCAGAGAATAAAGCACCAACACAAATGTGTAGTGAACAACACGTATGTGGAGAACATGTGTCGGAAACACTCGCTCAGGAAGCATTTCAGAGGGGAGCTGATGAACGACTGCACGTTTTGGTGAATGCAGTGCAAAAATGGCACTATTGCAGTGGCTTTAGCACATGTTTGTGTTCTGGTCTCAAATGTTTCTCTTTTAGTTTTTCTATGGAGGTTTTAACTGCATAGGAAAAGCTCTTAACTCACTGGACTCAGCAATGACCTAGATACTGAGGGGAGGAGAGGGGGGAGGAAACAAGAGAAGTTTTAACATTCACCATAAAGTACTTTGTTTCATCTTAAAACGTCTCTGCACTTGGACTCTCTCCCACTTGGCTCTGGCTCTTCCTGGAGCGTAAACCCTACCCATGGCTCGACCACTGTTATGGTTGTGGTTAGGACTGGGCGGTGCATCGAGTTTTTAAATATATCGATATCTTTTTATATGAGATGTGACAATATTGTTTATGTCGATGTAGTCTGTTACGTTATAATTATACTTGTGGAGCTGCAAGTTTGCCTCTTTCGTCCACTTTTGTCTCCACGCTGCGTTACTCTGCCTCTCCCCCCCCATCGCTTCACCTGCAGGCAGCGACAGGACGGACACGGCAGCTATCACAGAGGAGCTGCTCGGCAAACAGAAAACATTTGAAGATTATTATTTTAATGCTGCAGTGCTACTCTAAAATGACGTTAACGCCGTAACTGCATTAACCCGACAAATCTCCGTTAACGAGTTACCGCAGGTCGCCCGTGCGTGGGGCTGCACGGCCGTGCAGGTAGCACTACCAGTATTTTCACCATTTACAACAGCAACAAAAGTGCAAAATGAAGGGTGTGTGAAACAAGCTGCATCCCAGACCGTCTCCCAGCATCCTGCCCCGAAACAAACCACCTTACAAAACTCGTATACCGTATTTTTCGGACTATAACCTCACACTAAAATCCTTTCATTTTCTCAAAAATCATCAGCGCGCCTTATGCATGAGTTCTGGTTGTGCTTACTGACCGCAAACCGATTTTATGTACACGGCGCTCAGCAATCTGTCAAAAATGTTTTGGTACGACTTTGCTACGAAGCTGCAGCGCTTGATGGATTGTCGGAGGATTACAGATACCGTAGTCAGGAGCGGAGTGATACGTACTGTGCTTCAGCGTAATGTTACCGTACTGTGTGCGTATAAGGGCCACAAATGGCAGCTGTAAGAGACACGGTTACAAAGAGGGTTTCAAACTCCAGGCTGTCAGTCACGCAGTAGAACAGCAGCTCATTACACTCAGCGTCTGTTAGTTTACATTTTGACTGCACGATTGTGATGTTTTTGTTGTGCACAAAAACAACATAGTTTTATTTTATTTATGGAGCATTATTATTTAACAAATACTGATCATTTATATAAGTTTTGCACGTACATCTGCGCTGCATGTTAATAAAACTGCCTATGTGAGATCTGGGACACAGCTTTGACTAAACTCTCGTTTTGTTCGTACTTTATGGTTTTAAATAAATATTGAGATATATATCGTATATCCAGCTAAAGATCGAGATATGAATTTGGGCCATATCGCCCAGCCCTAGTTGCGGTCATATTTTTTTAACAAATATTGTAATTAAGTAAATAGATTTATGTCCCAACAACATGAATACGACACAAATGAAGCACCCACACTGTAAAGCAGCTTCTATCCTCAGTTCTTTGGTTTTCAGTGCACTGCCGAGTCTTGATTGGTGAGCTGGTTGCTCTGTGTTGGGCCGCCTCCGACACAGGGAAGCAAATGAGAAACGTTCCTAAAAAGCTTCGTTTTCTGCGTTTACATTTCTTTGTATGCAATGCAACATTTCAGAAACTGGGAGGAACCTGTACAGTGAAGGCAGCATTACTGAGCAGCATTAAACACACAGTTTTGTTTGTTTGTTTTGATCATGTAAACAGTTTAATGCAAACCAAGTTTAGTGGGCTAACACAAAGCTCTTTGTCATGCAAAAATATTCATTTTTGAGTGTAATGTCTCTTTTTCAGGGTGATACTCCTAAGAACAGGGCGGAGAAGGCTGAAGATGCTGAACTGGCAGCGTACCTGGAGAACAGACAGCATTACCAGATGATACAGAGAGAGGATCAGGAGACGGCTGTCTAAGATATTGGAACTCTCCTTGAACTGGACATGGATGAAGGTTTTTTCTCCTTCCTCATATTGACCAGACACAACGTGTTTAATGCCTTTGTGCGAGCTGAACTGGACACAGGTTCCAGTTTACTGCTGACAGCCCTCAAAAACAGGTGGAGAGTGAAGCTGTGCCAAACGTGGTTTAAATAGCAGGGCTGGCGTTAACTGCGGTGAAGCGACGCACATTTTCAGAAGTTTATTAAGTCGTTTTGATATTTTGATGTTAAATAGCTTAGTAAGAATAATAATATTGATTTAGAAATTTTGTGAAATTCTCTGACTTTTTTGGGGGATTGCGGGGTGGGTGGGGCTTTGAAGAGTCATGTTCATATGGTAATGATTTACTTTATTTCTTATGATTATTAAATACACAACAAACACAAAACCTAAAACTGTCAGAAGCTACAGACACTGTATGTGTATAGATCACACAGGATGCAGACTGATGATTAAAAAGTTAAATGTCCTGCTGATGCGTTCAAGGCCAAAGTTCTTTGTAGTAAAATACACATGTGACTAATAAACATCCGAATCACTAGCTGGATAAAAACCACACACACTTTGTAGACGCATATTGTGACCTGATGTTAACAGGATACAAAGCATGAAGAAATTAAACATTTTCCAGTGTCGAATTCTTTCATTTTTTTAAAATTCATTTGGATTTGAATATTGAAAGACACAGAAAACTTTTACATCTACCAAATTCACAGATGTGTGTTAGGACGGCACGTTCAACATGTCCAACATCCTCCGCTTTAACATTTATTGAATGTCCAACAAGGACACTGAGAGCAGAGCAGCCTCGGCCTCGCAGGGCTGGATACTGGTGAAAAGAAGAGTTGGTCAAAACCACAAGTGTTCATCCTCTTGGGACCATGAATACCTCCAGTTCATTTTATTAAGGTTATTGGCGTCATCAGTATAAATGCTGTTAGATTAATACTTGAACTAAGCCTTAAAATATTTTCCAGTTCTGTGCTTTTGTTTCATAAATGATGGTGATATGTTCATTTATAGCCACAAAACTCAAACTGGTGGCACTACCCTCGTGATTCCTCTTGAATAATTTCAGCACAAATAACCACACGTATTGAATGGACGTAACAGTGGATTGGCAGACGCATGCTGCTGCTGTAGTAGGTGGCACAGGAAGTGCTGTGCGTGTCGCAGACGTCAGTACCCCAACAGAACCTGCAGGAAACCACCAATGAGTCGAGGCTTTACTGGAGACGCAGTCCTTTCCAGGTTTAACGCGCAGAACTGATGTGTGTTGTTTGCACATTGTCACCACTGCTGTGATCGTGGTTTGGTAGAACACACAACACTGACTGTTATTATAAGACATGGATCATAAGGCCCTAAATATTCAACACATCTAGAATTAAAGCCTTCACGTCTTTGATCATTCCTGTTAATAAAGTTGATTCACCACAAGCATGTCTGCCAAAACCATTGACTGAAAAAACTGTGATTAGAGTGGTTTTTCATTCAGTGACTGTGGGGCAGGTGTTATATTAAAGTATAATAATGTCAAATTAGATCAAATCGATTTAAGTTAAACAAATCTAATTAGATATAACAGATGGAGCAATTAAGAAATATATTTTGGAATATTTACATCTGTAACATTGATTTCATCAGCGGTTTGCGACTGCAAATGAAGACGTAGCTCATCGAGAGCTTCCTTAGTTTCATCTTTATTATTGTTTCTGTGTATTTTAAAGTGCAGTAACTATTAGGCCGTCCCCTAACAAAGAAAAGAAGGTGTTGTTTTTAAATGTTTTAAATGAATGAGTAATTACACGTTGGCACAGTGATGCAGTAGTCAGCACGGGAGCAGCATAGAGATCAAGAAAATTCGTGTTTTTTGTTATGTATGAAGACAAAAGATCAAAATTTAAAATGACTCTAAACGTGGTGAGGACATCTACAAGCAACAAATAAACATGTCACCACTCATTACATGGCTCTTTGATTGATTTTAGTTTTACGTCCAGACTTTCCAGCAATACTAAAATATTTGAACAGGAAACAGGAAGAATTACAAAATAAAGTTTTTCACACTGCTTTGACATGAAGTAAATATGTGCAGAAACCTGTCTATTTTAATGTTAGTTTACTTTTGGGGGATTTCAGTGACTTTGTCAAAGTGTATGATAGAATTTACTGTACAAAGTTTAGACCCGAGCGCAGCACCTACTGAATCCTTTCAAACCAAAAGTCTGTGCCCAAGTTTACGGACTTTTTTGTTTTGCCTGTAACTTCCAGCATTTGAGCTTTTTTGATGTCTTAAGGTTTCTTTGCATTGGAATTCTTGTGATGTAAAGTTAGGATTTGTTTTTCAATCATCTGTTGCCAATGTTGTTTTTTTTCAAGGCAATTCTTTGTTCAAACATTTGTATGAAATAGTTTAAATCGCAATTATCAACAATTATGTGTTTTTATCTTTCATTATCTCCGCATGTACTAATTGGTTTTAACTCCAGTTTGTTTTTGAGAGGAATGTAAAGATAATAAAACAAAGAGGTAGTTTGTTTTTTCATGGTGTCTTTTGCTTTTTATGCATGTAAAAGTACACCCAAAAAGCCATTAAAGTTTTTCAATTTCTTCCTGCTCACGAGTGATGATATTTACACAAAAACATTTCATATTCAAACAGCACTTTTATTATAAATGCATGTAAATATCAGATTGCGAATGCCTTGAAGCTGTGGACTGACAAAAATGTATTGTTTGTTGCCAAGTTTAATGGCCTCTCCACATGCTTTCTAACTCTACCATTGCTCCTACGATCTGATTTTCAGACGCTAGGATAGAAGGATGCGCTCTGCCAGGTGAATACAAATGCAGTCCCTGCATGCCAGCCTGCTCGTGTGATACTTGACTCTCTGATGCAGAGATGTTATTTATTTTGTGAAGAAGTCAAACTCATTCAGTTTGTAAGCACACAATAATTCAAATATCTGAAAGATTCACTTGAAATTTGATTTGCATCGTTTCTGGTTTCAGCTGTTGGACTGGAGATGTCAGAGTCCAGTAAGCAACAAGTCAACTTTCTCTTTTTTACCAGTTTCCCTGGTTGCTGTTACTGAAGTCACCGTTACATACACAACATTAAATAAACAGAAAAGGGTGCAAACAAAACTAGATTGCATGTCCATTTCACACTGGACACTGTGGACCAGCGTGTCGATTACATGCTTTGCTGTGATATCGTTTAACAGGAGTTGTCAAATGTTAATCCTGGCATGCCCAGCATGGGGGTCACTGTTGTTGACCCTCCGTGTCTTTCAGAGCTCCTCTCTCAGAATGTTCTAGAGCTCCCTCTTCCTCACGCAGTATAGCTACAGCTATCACTGCAGCCGTTGTCTTCTGCTTGTGCAGCGCTTCTATGTCTGGTTGGTTTGTAAATGACCTGTATTTGTACAGCGCTTTTCTAGTCCCTAAGGACCCCAAAGCGCTTTGCACAACCAGTCATCCACCCATTCACACATCTACCCATGCCATCACCATTCACACTGGTGATGGCAGCTACATTGTAGCCACCCTGGGGCGCACTGACAGAGGTGAGGCTGCCGGACACTGGCGCCACCGGGCCCTCTGACCACCACCAGTAGGCAACGGGTGAAGTGTCTTGCACAAGGACCAATGACCGAGACTGTCCAAGCCGGGGCTCGAACCAATTACAAGGCTCCCAACTCTTGAGCCACGATTGCCCCCTAGATGCGGGGCGATCGTGGCTCAAGATCGCCCCGCACCGGGGGTCTTGTCCCTAGATGCGGGGCGATCTTGAGCCACGATCGCCCCGCATCTAGGGACAAGACCCCCGGTTTGGAGCATCTTTGCACAGCCTACACCTGGGGTCTTGCCTGGTATGGTAGACCTTGTTCCAGTATTGCCATGATTAGTGCCTCTGTACTATCTTTCAGTCCAACTTTATCCAGCCACTGGTAGGTTCTCTGGATGTCACTTCTTCTATTTGCCGGTGGCACATGCTGTGCAGGGGCCTGTTCTTCTATGATGATTCCTCTCATTGCTGGTCTTCTTTTTCAGGGTTGCGCTGCCTGAAGTATTCACTAAGCATGTGGTCAGTTGTGGCCATCTTCCTTATGGAAGATGGATGTTCATGGTCTCATCCTGGATAGTGGTTTTGGCCTCCTCCCTTCCGTTTACAGAGTGCTGGACTTGGGGTGAAACCATTTCCTTGTTTTGATCAAGGTCAGTGGCTTCTATCAAATCCTTGGCCAGCTTTTTCTCCCAGTTGGGTATCTGATGACTGGCATAGGTGTTGATTGCCCAGATCTTGTTCTTCCCACTCAGGTAAGTCCTAAGGAGTTGGCTTACTCTCTGCAGGTATTTGGTGGTGCGGCTATCCTAGCAGCCTCTTCATGGTTCTCATTTACCTGTGGGGTTCCCAGGGACTTGGCTTTCCCCTGATGTGCTGTATATCCTGGTGGTGTGGATCAGTGAATTGACATCTCGTACACTCTGGCATACAGCTTGATGTCATCCATGTAGAGGAGGCGGTTCCATCCATCCATCCATTCGCTTCCGCTTATCCTTTTTCAGGGTCGCGGGGGGGGGGGGCGCTGGAGCCTATCCCAGCTGTCATAGGGCGAGAGGCGGGGTACACCCTGGACAGGTCGCCAGTCTGTCGCAGGGCCAACACACAGGGACAGACAACCATTCACACTCACATTCACTCGCACATTCACACCTAGTGACAATTTGGATTATCCAATTAACCTATCCCCACAAGCTGCATGTCTTTGGACGGTGGGAGGAAGCCCGGAGTACCCGGAGTGAACCCACGCAAACACGGGGAGAACATGCAAACTCCACACAGAAAGACCCCGGCGTGATGGTGGAATTGAACTCAGGACCTTCTTGCTGTGCGGCAACAGTGCTAACCACCGAGCTGCCCAATCCACCACCATCTTTCACCCATCTGATCTTAATGACCTTGTAGTACCATATCACCCTATTAGAGCACTTCGCTCTCGCTCTGCAGGCCTACTTGTTGTTCCTAGAGTATTTAAAAGTAGAATGGGAGGCAGAGCCTTCAGTTTTCAGGCCCCTCTTCTGTGGAACCAGCTTCCAGTTTGGATTCAGGAGACAGACACTATCTCTACTTTCAAGATTAGGCTTCAAACTTTCCTTTTTGCTAAAGCATATAGTTAGGGCTGGACCAGGTGACCCTGAATCCTCCCTTAGTTATGCTGCAATAGGTGTAGGCTGCCGGGGGATTCCCATGATGCTCTGGGAGTTTCTACTTCACTCACTATGTATT